TTATCCTGGGTTTCTTTCCTTTCCATATAAAGTTTGTAATTGTTTTTTCCATCTCTTTGAGGAATGTTGATAGAATCTGGATTGGGATTGCATTATATGTGTAAATTGCTTTGGACAGTATTGACATTTTCACATTGTTAAGTCTTCCTATCCAGGAGCATGGTATAGTCTTCCATTTTTGTAGGTCTCTTTTGGTTTCTTGTAGTAGTGTTTTGTAGTTTTCTTTGTATAAGTCCTTTGTTTCTCTGGTTACATTTATTCCTAGATATTTAATCCTTTGGGTGGCTATTGTAAATGGTATTGCTCTCCTAATGTCCTTTTCAACGCTGTCATTTTTGTAAATTTATGGAGATTTGTCTAGTCTGGAGAATGTTCCATATGCACTGGAACAGAATGTGTATTGCACGGTTGTTGAGTTGAATGCTCTATGAGGTCAAGTTGGCTGACTGTGTTGTTTAGTTCTTCTGTGTCTTTGTCAAGTTTCTTTCTGGTTGTTCTATCCATTTTTGAAAGCAGTGTATTATTGAAAACAACCCTATACAGAGTTGCTTAGAATTGAAACTGGTTTGACAGCACTTAACAACCCCATATATATATATGAAAGCCCTGGTGATGCAACATTTAACCCATCCACATTTAAGTGCTCAGCTGATAGCTAGAAGGAAGTTCAGATGCACTCACTCAGTGACTCTGCAGCAGAAAGACCTGGTCATCTGCTTTTGTAAAGAGTATAGCCAAGAAAACCCTGTGGTTTACTCTGTCACTATGAGTTGGGACCAACTTGATGGCACACAACAGCAACAACATATGTTATATGAAGCTTGTCTATTGTGTGCATCGAATCTTCTGTATCAGTATTTTTGAATACTTAATCTATCAGTTACTGAAAGAGAGATGTTAGAAAATCTCTACATTCTCCTTATAGTCTGTCCCATATTGCTTATATATTTTTTCCATCGATGTTATTCAGTACAAACAAGTTTTAAATTGTTTCTATCCTTTTTAATATGAGAAGTACATGTGTGTGTTCATTTTGTTTCATATTTTATAAAACATTTAGTAAACCACACTTTAGATAAAATGTATTTAGAGTTTAAAATATTCATGTCCCTTGGCCTTGTTAATTCATTTCTGGGATTGTGTTTAAAATAAATAATTAGAAATAGATAAAAAAAAATCCTTATGTATCAAAATGCATACTTGTGATGTTGAAATAATCAAAACAAAACACAGAGTTTAATAAGAGGGGAGTGTTTGTGCACATCTACATGATGGTGTTTAATAGAGCCATTAAATTGTTATAATGAATTTGTAATAACACTGAATATTTACTATGTCACCAATAAAACCATTTGCCCTGGAGTTGATTCCAGCTTCTGGTAATTCCATGTATGTTAGAGTAAAGCTGTGTTCCATATCCATAGCTGATACTATTATGTCACAATGGTAAGTAAAGAAAGCAGTTTACGCAGTATGATTTCAGTTACTTTTAATGGCACTACAGAAATGTTTTAAAAGGAAATATCTCAAAATAGTAGCATTAGTTGTTGAAATTTGATGACTTTGCCTTACCATTCCTAATTTTTGTGTTTTCTAAGTTGTCTATTTGTTGCTAAGTGCCGGCAAGTTAGTTCTGACTCATAGTGACCCAGATAGGATTCCCAAGGAGTGTCTGGTGGGTTTGAACCATTGACCTTATAGTTAGCAGTCCAGTGCTTATCACTACAGTGCCACACCAGGATCCCATATTTTTATAGTAGTCATGTGTTTTTTTAACAAATAGGGAAAATAAACTTAGAATAACAAGGTTTTTTTTTAATAAAAATATGGACTAACAAATACATTTCTAACCAATATAGGAATGAAAATAATGACTCTTCATTTTGTATTATGTTATTCTCAGTTGAAATTCTTTTTTAAAAAGTCAAAATTAAAAAGCAATTAAAAATGTGTAATATGAGAACTAATGAAACATGTGACCATCAATCTCCACAACTCTGACATCATGAGATCATCCCCAGCTACCATTGCCAACTACTCTGAAAGGGATCACCTTAAAGGTGCCTGGATAGAGTTGGAGAAAATTTGGAACAAAACTAAAATAATTATCTCTATAAACATAGACCAGGCTTACTGGTCAAAAAGAGACTAAAAGGACCTGGAACTGTGGCCTGAGACCACTTCTCAAGTCTGAAAAGGAGCTCACCCTCCTAGCCCAATTTTCAGCCAAGCAGTGGATAGCTTTATAGTGGGGACATCACTAATAAGGTATACTCACCATGGAATGGTCAATCATTCAAAACCAAAAGGGCACCATTTTCCTAAGGACAACATTGAGAAGGGATGGGAAGGAGGGTGGAATGGAAATAGGAGGCACAAGTAAGAAGCAGGTAACTGTTGTTGCATGAAGGGGATTGTAATCATTGAGAGGAAACAAAGTGTGTGATTTGTTCAATGTGAAATTGATGATCTTATCTGTAAACCTTCACTCAGTTCCCTATAAAATGCTAAAAAAATGTGTAATATTGGATGTGTGTAAAGCAAAAGTTAATAATTGAAATAAGTGTCATACTGTGTTTCACCATCTATAGATAAAGTGCTGGAAGAAGAGAACCAATGCATGACTTCTATGGTTTCCAGTCATATGAATCCAGGGACAAAACCAATACCTATTGGATCCTTCAGCCCCCATGTAACAGAGTTTCCAAGGAAACGCAAAGGAAGTGATTCAGACCCATCTCAGTAAGTGAATTTGTTCCTGTCACCCCAGAATTCTTTGACTCAAGGGAAAAGAGAAAAAAAGATAAAAATTTTAAATCATGAATTATTTTTAAGTGCCTGGTAACATTTGGATTGGGACATTTATCCACCTACTTTCACCTTCTGTCACTTGCTGACCTGGCATTTTTGTTTCAAACTCCAACAGCTATTAGATATCCAGGAAAGTCAAAGAGAATGAAAGAATTATAGGAACATAGGTTAGTTTTTATAGTCCAAGCAGGATACTTGCTTTGCAAATTGAAATACTTAACTATGAGGACATCTTCCTCCATGTTTGATTTAAAACTAATTACTACATTCACTTTACATCTTATTCATTACGTAATAATCAACCCTTGGTTACCTGTGGTCAGCTTCTTCATGTAAAACTTCTATTTCCATATTTATTAGCCCAAGTAGGTAATAACATTATGGCTGAGAATACTCCTCTTTCCTTGTTTGTCATGAAATGCAGCTTGCAACCCTAAATATCCTTTAACGGACCTCCACAAAGCTAGGGTTTATATGGAGAAAATAATAGGGGGCCAAAATTAACAGTCTACAGTAACTCATTTTAGGCTGGTATTTTATATCAATGGAGTCCTGGTGTGGCGCTGTGGGTTAATGCGCCAGACTGCAAAGCCATTTGAACTGCAGGGTTGGCGGTTCAAGCTCACCAGCTGCTCCTTGGAAACCCTATACAGGGTCGCTATGGGTTGGAACTGACTTGATAGCACTTAACAACAACTTTACATCAATGTGAAGGTTGCTGATAGTTTTTTAACAGGAACGAAGGGGAAAGTTCTGGATAAAGGAACAGGATAAGGACATAATGAAATACCTAGCTCTTTTGTTTCTTTTTTTTAACTAAGTTTTTCACAGTGCATTTTATAATTTAGTTTCAGTTCCTAGTCTAGCAAAATCAGTGCTATCCAAATGTAAGAACTGAAGTACTTCCCAAACCAGATATAAATGATTTGGAGATTACCAGCTGTTTTTGGTTATCTGCATTTCTTAATCTCTTACATCGATGTGGATGATCATAAATAACTGTAATTAACCAAGTGCCACATTCCATGGAGCTACCAGCATTGGCAGTTTTCCCCTAAATGATCAATTAGCAGTCCTCACTCACTCTGAGCCAGATTGGATTATGGATTGCTAGTTGTTTTTATTGTTTTCCTTATTCTTCAAAATCATAAGCACTATTGTTCTTTTTTGGTATCTAAATATGACTGTGGATATTGAAATGGGGACAGAGAACACGGGAAGTAACACAATTTTATGCCAAGTAAGGGACACCTTATAGCGGTTTGACAGGAGTCAGGGGTAGGCAAAATATTGTTGTTGTTGTTGTTGTTATGTGCCATAGAGTCGGTTCCGACCCATAGCGACCCTGTATAGGGTTTCCAAGGGTGTAAATCTTTACGGGAGTAGAGAGCCTCATCTTTCTCCCGCGAAGCAGCTGGTAGTTTCGAACCACTGACCTCAAGGTTCGCAGCCCGATTCGTAACCACTACGCTACCAGAGGCAAAATATTAGCCACATGCAAAGTTCTATCAGAGAACAATATTTTGGCAGCAAGCAACACTGAACATTATTTAGTTCCCTGTTTGGCTGCTAACGGTTAGGTTGACAGTTCAAACCTACCAGTGTCTCTTTTGGAGAAAGGGGCAGTCTGCTTCCATAAAGAGTTGTTGTTTAGTGCCGTTGGATCAGTTCTGCCATATAGCAACCCTGTATAGGGTTTCTGAGGAGCGTCTGGTGGGTTTGAACTGCCAACCTTGTGGTTCTCCTTCTAGTGCTGATCCATAGCACCACACCAGAAGTCCACATACTCTGAAACCCTATGAGACAGTTCTATTCTGTCTTAATAGTGCCACTATGAGTCATAATCAACAGTAATGGATTTGGTTTGTGTTTGCTCATATATCAGAAAATGGAGACGCTAGAACTCAGAACTATCAAGCAACTTCCCCAAGGTTACATATCTAATTAGAGTACTTAATTCCTAATGTGTTTTCGTCATTCTTCATTAATGTGTCTCTGCAGCTGGGTAGGGTTTGGTACAATATGGTGGCAGTCACATTGTCCTTTTCCTAGTATGTCTGCGTAGGGGGTGATAACCCAATGCTTCCTTCCTTCCAGGTCAGGAATTATGGCAGACAAACTAGTAGAAAAACTTTCTCAAAATCCCATTACCTATCTTCTTTCAACAAGGATAGGAATTTCAGCATCCACTGGCAACAGGTAAGCCCTGGACTCTTATTTGACGTATTCCCACCCTACATGAAGGAGCAGTAGAAGGAGAGTGTCTATCCCACTGAGTTGCTCATTACCTAGCTCAGAGCTTCTACATTCTGCCCACGCTCTTCTTTTATCCCATCATTTTCCATCCCCATTAATGAAATGAAGGGTCCCCGTGTGGCATTGTTGGGTAAGCATTGGACTGCTAACTGCAAGGTTGGTGGTTCAAACCAGCTGATCCTTGGAAAACTTACACAGGATGCTATGGGTTGGAACCAACTCGATGGCACATAGCAACAGCAACAACAACTAATGAATTGCTGATGTTAAGGTATGAATTTACCAAGTGCTGATTTATAACATCCTCTCTGGAGACTCAAGACATCAAAACCTGAGGTTGGTTTTGTAATCTAAGAGTGTTTGTTGGATATTTTTAAATGAAAAATACTGTATGAGAATGTTTATCCTTTCTGAAGCACTGTTAGTTTTGATAGGAAAGTTGCTTCTTTAAAAGAGTTTTTGATGACGTTTGCTGTAATACGGTCATTGGATAGTTATTGTATACGTGTCATGTGTCACCCAGTAGATTATCATTGTTATTAGGTGCTGTTGAGTTGGTTCGTATGTCTAACAGAATGAAACGCTGCCCCATCCTGTACTATCCTCACAGTTGTTCCTGTGTTTGAGCCCATTGTAGCCACTGCATTAATCCATCTAATCGAGGGTCTTTCCAGTAGACTAAGAAGTATTAATACAGATAAGACACAAGCTTAGCCCTCAAAAAACACGTACAAGTGGGAAAGATAAAAATAATAATTATATATTATAACTGCTATAATACAGACTCTGGGTACTATGGCAACAGAGAAATAGGCATTTAAATAAGATTGGGGTCAGGGATGAAGGACAACTTCTTGGAGAAGTTGACATAAACTAAGTTTTAAGTGAAAAATAGAAATGGACCCTGTGGAGCAGGAGTAGAGAAGATATTTTATGTAGAAGGAGCGTGGGTAGAAATGCAGGGGTGTGAAATGGCATGTTGCTGACCAGGAAACGACAAGTGGTTGGCACAGTAGAGTTGAGGGTGCACATAAAGGTGAGCAAGCAATGAGACTTGAGGAATAAACAGGGACTAAGTCATGAAGCTCTCTGTCTCCTGAGCTAAAGAATTTGAAAATTATCTTGAGTATTGTAGAGGAAATTGAAGGATTTTAAGCATGAGAGGAACTAAATCAGATTTACCTTTTCAGAATCTCACTCTGTAAAGAGGATAGAGGCTGAAGGAAGAATACCCAATGGACAGAAAGAGCATTTGAGAGACTTTTGCTGGGGTATAGGTTAGATCTCATGAGCTAAGAGAGTGGCCTAGTACAGAAAGATCTTTGAAAGGAAAGGTTATATAATGGCATATCTAGAAGATAGAATCTCTAAGACGTCATGATTGTTGGTTGGGGAAAGAAAGAATATAAGAAGCTTCCATGTTGTCTGACTTGGGCATCTAAATGAAAAATGGTATTATTATTATTCACTGAGATTGAGGGAAAGATAATTATTTCAGTTTGGGACATACTGAGAATGGCTTAACTATGGGACCTTCAAGTAGGCAATTGAAAGAAAGATGAGACTTTCTACTCCTGAAAAGGTTTATAGTCTTGGAAACCCTATACGGGGTTGTTGTGAGTCGGAACCAACTCGATGACACACAACAAGAGGGCAGTTGGACAAGAAGGTATAGAACTCAGGACTGAGGCCTAGTATGGAGACACATTCAAGTATAATTTGTAGGCAAAAACTAATTGAAGTGATAGACCTGGATAAATTCACTGTGAGAAGTCTATAAAGTCAGAAGACTGGGGGGCTGAGGATATACTCTGGGGGCACACTGGCATAAAGACAACAAAGAGAAGCCCACCCAAATTAGAAAGACATGACTCTAAAGTGGAGTGCTGTCTCAGAAACCAAAGAAGGAAATTTCAGAAAGAGGAGGAATGGAAAGCTGAAACATGTTTTGCGATTGTATCTTCTGTCACTTTTATTTGTCTTTGCATGACAAATGAAATGTGAATATTCTTTAGAAAGAATATTTGCATTTCATTAAACTGCTGTCAGAGTAGTTTTCAAGAAACACTAGAACTGTGGATTTTCTTTTGTTTTTAAATATGTTACTAATAGTGTAAGGTGTCACATTGAAATAATGCATTTAACTTAATATCAGAACCTTATTAATATCGGAAAGCTTATTATTCCCAGCCCCAAAAAGTAACCTACCAAATTATATCAAATAACACATGAAACCTAAAATAATAGTGAAAGTGGGAACACTCTGATGAATACACACCCTATATAAAATAGAAATAATGTATGCACAGTGTAGTTCCCATGGGGTCACCACTCTCGCTGCTTGGGGTGTACCCCCCACAAAATAAATCTGAACTCTTGCTTCACTTTTTGTCTTTTTAATTTTTAAAAACAAAAATTCTCTTCAGATTTCTCTCTATTAGTGGAAACTGGTCCTAATATAGGTACTAATGTCTTTCATAAAAGTAAAGTGGCATAAAGTGAACTTCTGAAAAGCAGAGACTACCTGTAATGCCTTTATTTTATTTAGTGTTATTTCTGGGAAAATCTTATTCTTTCTCAAGATTGCCATGAAATCATTTCTAAATCGAGCACCAATTATTGTTCACCATCAGTTAGCTTTTTGTTACCCTGATGGGGTTGGTGTGACCAATCATAGGCGAACAGCTCATGTAGACAGGTCATGTGCTCAGTGATTGCATTTATCAGTAAAAATCTCATGGTAACTGTGATGGTTGGACTTCATCTCACATTTATTCCTCTCTCAAGAATTAAACAGTTTGATATTTTTTCTTGCCTTTCTTTCTTTCTTTCTTTTTTTTTTTTTTCCGTAGAATGGAAGATGGTGATCAACAAGTAAAACTGAAGTCTTTCAGGTACATTAAAATATTGAGATGGTACATGGTGGGTAGAAAATGTTGCACATGCAAACATTGAGCCAAAGCTTAAAGCAATTTCAAGATGGAGTGGATTCTTAATTTCCTCATTAGTTTTTCCTCATAATGGTTTTCCTCATTAGTTAAGTGCTTTGAGAAGTAATGATTAGCAGTTGCTGGTGGTGCCTTTCAATTTCTGTTAAAAATGGCTGGTTCATGCTATAAATAAATCAGAATTACTTATAAGGAGTGTCTGATTATTAGAAATCCATCATTGTATAATCTCTTGTCAATTGCTTCAATATATTCTTTCAACAATTTTTTTGTTTTATAAACATTTGGCAGCATGACCTGATCTGAGTTTTGCCCTCTCTCCATTCATCCTGTTTTCTTTTAAAATATTACGAAGTACTGAAATGTTTTAAAGTGACAGTACCTGTATGTTATAAAGCAGAGAACATGTTTCTGGATAAACATGTCTTTCCTTACTGAAATCCTCTAGGAAGCTTTGCATCTGCAGTTTTTGCAAGCAGACTATATCTTTTTCCCAAACTGGCAATTCTGTATTTGGTAGTGTGGTCATTGGCTCCATGAAAACTACCGCCTTTTTCATGAGATCAGAAGAAATGGATGGTGTCCCGCTACCTTTACTAGACATTTTGATTGAAGATTCTACAGAAGAATTCTATTGATCAAAAGAGAGAAGTTTCAGAACAGAATTTCAAATTTTCATGAACTTCAAGACTTTCTTGAAAGCTGTTTGAACCCTGAAACTGTCTTGAAATAACATTTATTATCTCAAACACAGAATATCCCCTGAAGTCTTCTTAAAACTAAACATTAGTTTAGATTAACTAGTAAACATGATCTGTCTTGATTCTTAGGCTCTTTTAAGAACTATCTGTATCGAATCAAAGTCACAACAGTGACTTGAAAGATTAATTAGGAAATTTAGGGAGTTGTTGTTAACTGATGTTAAGTCAGTTCCGACTTATAGTGACCCTGTATAGGATTTCCAAGGAGTGACTGGTGAGTTTGACCTGCTGACTTGACAGTTCAAACTGAATCTGCAGTCCGCAGCATTAACCCGTGGCACCACAGGAGTAGTGAGTTTATATTAATGAAGGAGGAACAACTCAGAAAAGGAGGATGAAAATGGATGTACAACTTGAAGAGTATAATCAGTTTCGCTGAATTGTGCATGTAGAAATGGTTGAATTGGTGTATGCTTTGCTGTTTTTACTCTCCACAACAACAAAATAAAAATTAAAAAAACAAAATGAAAACTTGACTGCTCATCTTTACTAGTTCCTGCTATTATCGTGTATCATTTTCCACAGTGACCTGGCTTGCCCCCGGCCCTCACGTCCTCTGAATACTTGCTCTGAGAGTAGTTCCCCTTCTCTTCCTGTGTATTCCTAGACTCAGTCATCCATCCATTACTAATGTCCTTCCTAATGCATAATACTGGTAGAAAGACTAGGGGACCATTTTAGTCCGAGTCAAACGTTAACATTCTTTTAAGCATAAAATATTAAACCAAAAATTGCTTGTGAATGGAATAAAGTAGTCGGAACCAATTCAATGGCAGTTAACAACAACAACTCAAATTCACTCAACCAGCTGTTCCTCGAAAACCCTCTACCGGATCAGTGTGAGTCAGAACCAACAGCACTTAACAACAAACAACAACTCAAGTTTTAGTCTATTCACAAACAGTTTTCAGTTTAACAATGATAATCTAAATTGTATGTAAATAAATATGGACCTTGCCTTGATTTGTAATTGTATCCAGTTCAAATTTAAAAGTATATAATATGCTTCAGGAGTCCTGATGTGATGCTATAGGATAAGCACTGAACTGTTAACTATAAGATTGGCCATTCAAATCCACCAGCTGCTCCTCGAAAACCCTATATAGGGTCACTATGAATCAGCAATGCCAAGGGCAAATGAGTCAGGGAGTTAGTTTCCATGAGTCTGTACCTGCCAACTCTAATACTCATGCACTCTTTTATGTGGAAACAACATTTTAAAAACTCTAATTTAAAGTCTGTCTAGAGACAGAGTCACAGAATCCTGGTGTGGCACTGCAGGATCATGCACTGGACTGCAAAGCCAGTTTGAACTGCAAGGTCAATGGTTCAAACCCACCAGCCACTCCTTGGAAACATTACACAGGCTTGCTATGGGTTGACACTGACAAAAACAAGATTCAGGATAATATTTCCATCTGATTGCCCTCCTAAGCTCTTCTTATTGAGAAAGTCTAGAGTTGCCATACTCTGAATCTTGAGAGACTGATAAATAAATACAGTAAAGTGTGAAAGTAAACTTGCAGAATTCTTCCATTCTAAGAAATACATCTCCCCCTCATTTTTTCATGGGGGGAAATGTCTTCTCATCAATGACATCATACTGTTAATTGCTAGCATCTTTCTTTCTTGGTGATTACATTAAATAACAATGACTCTTAAAATATATAGTATCTCAGTTTTAATGGGATGTAGCATTAGCTTGTAAAACATACTGAGACAACATAAAGAAAGAATTAATTGTGTAGTTAGTGGTGGTGGTGGTGGTGGCTATGTGCCATTAAGTTACTTGTGACTCACAGCAACCTTGTATAGGGTTCTCAAGGCTGTAAATCTTTACAGGAGCAGAAAGCCTCATCTTTTTCCTGAGAAGCAGCTGGAGTGACTGGTGGATTTGAACTGCTGACCTAGCAGTTAGCAGCCTAACACATAACCCACTATGCTACCAGGACTCCTTTGTGTAGTTAGTAGTCAGGGAAATCTTCCCTGAAGACTAATAACTGAGCTGGGTTTTGAAGAAAGACTATTACCTCTCCAAGAATATAGAAGGAAAGGATATCCTAAGCCTTATAAAGAACCAGGCATGAAGGAGATGTGAGACATATTTAAAAACTCGCAAATTTGATATTGCTTCTGTACCCGCCAACTCTAATATTCATGCACTCTTTTATGTGGAAACAACATTTTAAAAACTCTAATTTAAAGTCTGTAAAATTTAGAGCTGTAGGGGAAAGACTTGAAGGGATGAATCTGAAAACAAAGGCATGAACCAGGTCATGGAAAACCTTAGTAGAAATTAAGGAGTTTGACCATTCCTCTTGGGCAGTGGAAATGCATTGAGCAGTTATCTGCGATGGAGTTAGTACCATTATTCTGGAGATAGTGGGTAGTGTAGACTAAAAGGGGTAGAAACTAGAGGAAACATCTATTTAAAAGGCTCTTGGGGTATTGCAACAACTATAATAAAGGATTAAATTAAGAAAATGGCTGAGTGGATGGAGAGGTAGGGCAGACGGATGTATGAAATATTTTAAGAGCTAGAATTTACAAGAGTTTTTTAATTATTTAGCTCTTCAGTTTGATGAAGAGGTAAGGGTCTATAGTGAGTCTGGTGGTATCAGCAGCCAAGATAAACCCTATGGAAGAAAGAGTAAATAGGGGAAGGGAAGGAAGGAGACTTGGACCAGAGTGTATTGGATAGAATGTTACTTTTTTTTTTTTTATTTCTTGAGTTTTAGGGTACTTGTGGAATCCTGGTGTGGAGCTGTAGGATAAGCATTAGACTACTAACTGCAAGGTTGTTAGCCCAAACAGAACCCACTAGCAGCTTCTCAGAAACCCTGTGTTGTTGTTGTTGTTAAGTGTTGTTGAGTTGATTCCGACCCATAGCGACCCTGTATAGGACTTTCAAGACGTGGCTGGTGAGCTTGCCCTGTTAACCTTGCAATGCAAGCAGACTTTGCAGTCCAGTGCATTAACCCAAAGCACCACACTAGGACTCCTATACAGGGTCACTAGGAGTCTGAACCAACTGAAGACTCACCAGCACTTAACAACAACAACAAGGGTGCTCATGAATCAGTGAGGTGCCAAAGTCTAGTTTCAAAGATATGGAACTGGGTCAAGTAAATGAGATAGGCATTGAGAAGTAAGTAGCTTGGTAGGAGTACAATGGCTCTGTAGAATAAGCACTGGACTACTAACCACAAGGTCAGTAATTTGAGCCCACCAGCTGCTCCTTGGGAGAAAGATGAGACTTTCTGTTCCCATAAAGATTGACAACCTTGGAAACGCTACACAGGGTCACTGTGAGTTGGAACCAACTTGGTGACATTTAACAATAACAACAGTAAGTAGCGTATGAAAAGCTTTGTGAGGAAATAAAACATCTCTTAGGGACAAGCCTTCAAGAGAGAAAAGAATGGTACCAAGTTGTGAATCTTGAGGGATACAAGCAATTAAATGTTAGAGGAAGATCTAAGCATGGTGACCAAGCAGGGAGAACAGAAGAGGCACGTTCAGAAGAGTGTCACAGTGTCAAATTCGATGCTGGGATCAGCTCAGGCATTGCGTAAGGATGACCTATACAAGTATCATTTTAGTAGTATGTTGTTGTTATGTGCTGTCGAGTCAGTTCTGACAAATAGTTATCCTAAATAGGGTTTCTGAGGAGTGGCTGAAGGATTTGAACTGCTGACCTTGCTGTCCAGTGCCTATCCCATAGCACCATACCAGGAAGCTTGATTTTAATGGAGATGATTGAATGGAGACCCTACTCTTTCTAGAAATGTGACTGAGAAGGGAAGTCAATAGCAAGAATAGACAAACTAGAATTACAGAAAGGATTTTTTGTGGGGAGGGCACGGAGACTTGAGTACATTCATATAGACCCATGATAAGGAGTTGAGAGAGAAAATAAGGTTAAGATGTCTATTACTGTTTAAGTCGATTGCAGAGAGGAGTTAACGTGTATAGAAGCTTGCACATCTCTTCCTCTGAGATGGAAAGGAAGTAGACAAATCACTGATGTCTTAGTTCTTGAAGGTTTAAGGGAATAAGATAGGGAGGGAAGAGCAAGTGTAGGGGTGAAGGAAAAAAACACAAAACAACATTGATTTTATTAGTAGTATTTCTGTTCTTGGAGTCCTGGTGTGATGCTGTAGGATAAGCATTCGACCATAAAGTCAGTTTGAACTACAATGTTGGTGGTTCAAACTCACCAGCCGCTCCTCAGAAACCATACACAGGGTCACTGTGAGTCGGAACTAACTCAACGACACGTTAACAACAGCAACAACAAATTCTTGTTCTTGGACTCCTAGTGTGGTGCTGTAGGATAAGCATTGGACTTCAAACTGCAAGATTGGCTGTTCAGACCCACCAGTTGTTTATTCCTTGGAAACCCTTTACAGGGTTACTATGAGCTGAAAAGGACTTGATGGCATTTAACAACAACAACATTCCTATTCCTAGCAGTTTACTTTTCCCCAAATGGCAAGTGCAAGGCCAGATTTGGGAGAAAAAACTGTGTGTGCTTGTTGGGTTCAGCACCTGCTTCAGTTAGTACTTCCCCCAAAACTAATTCTGCTGAAACTCTCCTTCGTAGAGAAGTCCATAGCCAAACTGAAAAGCGGAGGAGAGATAAAATGAATAACCTGATAGAAGAACTGTCTGCGATGATCCCTCAGTGCAATCCCATGGCACGCAAACTCGACAAGCTTACAGTTTTAAGAATGGCTGTTCAACACTTGAAATCTCTAAAAGGTGAGTTTGAAAATGGCTTTCACACTTAGACTTGTAAAGTTTTCGTGTAACTGGGGTCTCTGATTAGTTTGTTTTGCTTGTATTGACTATTGAGATTCTATATAAAGGAGTCTTTAACTTGTTTGTATTGAGGTTTTTTTATACTCTGTATGTAGAATACCAATTGGATATCAGAACATTTAGTTAAAAAAAAAAACCACCAACTTTGTGTGAACTTAAATAAAATTTTACATTTCTCCTTGTAGCCCATGTGAAATACTAAGATAATATTATCTTCCCTACATGTCTCTCAATATTTAAAAGTTCTAAAATGCAGCTTTGACCAATTCCTATATTTAGAAAAGAAACTCTCCTTAAATTCAGCAATTTCTCATAAGATATTTTCATATACATTAGCCATTGGATGAGAAGATCCTCGGCCAGTGCCTCTTGGTGTGTATGTAATCATTTTTGTCTTTTGCACTCTCTAATTTGAGCGTCAGTTTTTTTACATTGAAATATAATGAATGTGTGTATATGTGTGTAGTATCCATGTTTGTAGTAGAAGTCACATCTGGTTTGGGAATAACCTGAATCAAACTTGGGTGCAGAGTAATGGGAATGGATTTGAGCTTTAGATATAATGAGAAAACAGGGACCCCAGCAAGAGTAACATGATGGAAACCATAGAGAAGATTGAGCATTCAGTTTGTATTTTAGGGAAGTTTGGCTCAAAAAAATGTGAAAAAGAAATGAATAAAGGATGACCCAGAGATCTTAGTTTAGACCTCTGTCCTACCCTGCAAGTCAGGGAAAGATAGTCTGTTTCAGGGGGAAAGGGTAATTATGTGGACAGAATACAGGGAATTTGCCAAGTCAAGTTAAAGTGAGTTAGTGGAGAATAGTATTAATCTGGACTCCTGGTGCCAAGCAGCCTGAAGAGGATCAGATCTTATAATGAACAGAAAAATATGGGAAATGCATGTACCTGGGTCATGCACATATAAGTTAGGAAGTAAAACTAGAGACAGCTATTAAAGTAACTTGTGCAGGTTGTGAAAATAGATACAGGCATACGTCAGAAATATTACAGGTTTCGGCTCCACTCTACTGCAATAAAGCAAATATCACAATAAAATGAGTCCTGAAAATTTTCTGGTTTCCCAATGCATGTAAAAGGTATGTTTATATATACTGTAGTCTGAAATATGAAATAGCATTATGAAAAAGTTTGAAATATTGTGAGAATTACCAAAATGTGCCACAGAAATGGCACAGATAGACTCGCTTGATGCAAGGTTGCCACAAATCCTCAGTTTGTTAAAAAAAAAATTACCTGTGAAGCTCAGTAAAGCTAAGCACAATAAAATGAATTGTGCCTATGTGGTCAACCACTTTCCTTACATCTCCACCTATGGTTGTTGTTGTTGTTAAGTGCCGTCAAGTCAGTTTTGACTCAGCAAGCCCTGTATAGGGTTTCCAAGGAGCGAATGATGATTTTGAACCACCAGCCTTGTGGTCCAGTGTTTATCCTACGAGATGGCTAATGTACTTGAATCCACTGGTTTGTGTGTATGTGTATGTGCTGTAGAAAGCAGGCAGTGAGGGAACCAAAGTAAAGCCTTTGATATCCCTTTAGGGTTTTAGAAAAGAGCAAATGCTGAGATACTGCCTAGGAGACTTCCTGTTGGGAGTGGGACTCAAAGTCGTATTTTCATAATTGCATATTGTGAAACAAAATTCTCTTTTACCCACAACTGGACTTGCACAAATAGTACACAATATTTCCCTTAAATCTTTTAGCGATGAAATTTTGCAGGCTCAGTTGAGGTTATTTGATCACAGCCCCCACATCACTTGGTTTCACATTAGCAATGTCTTGAGGGAGGACCTATGGGGAAAGGCATGAACCAGTTAGATCATTCAAGAAGCATTAAAGCATCCACTAGATTTCTGTCTTGTGCTGGGAAGATGAAAATGAATGAGGTCAGGTTGCTACCCTCATGTTCTAATGCATGAGAGATTTAAAGAAGAGATAAACCTAGTGTGATAAATGTTACTGTCCCGAGACAGTAGCTGTCAAAATTCAGAGGACAAGTCTTTGTATCAGAGAGTTTATCACTGGCCTCTTAAACAAAGGTGAGGTGGTCAAATTGACACGTCCTAACCAGCCTATGACACCATAGATCAGTTTATAATACTGTGGTGGCTTATGTGTTGCTGTAAGATATGTCACTGATATTTTAAATGCCAGAAGGGTCACCCATGATGGGCAGGTACTTTCAGACTAAGACAAACCAGAAAGAAAGGACTGGTGATCTACTTCTAAAAATTAGCCCCTGAAAAGTTTATGGATCACAAAGGAACATTGTCTGACTCGCTTGCTTTGGACACATCATCAGAGGCGAGTAATTGCTGGAGAAGGACTTCATGTCTGGTGAAACAGAGAGCCAGTGAGGGTAAGGGAGAGCCTCAGGGAAATGGAATGGCACAAAAGCCACAATGATGGCTTTGAACATGCCAGTGGCATTGAGGATGATGCCAGACCAGGCAGTGTTTTCTTCTGTTGTACAGGAGGTTGCTATGAAGTTGAGTGTATGACAGCTGTCCATGTAACTACCTACAAGTGAGATGACTTAAAGAGGCTGGGTCTGCATCCTGTGACAGCCTGGAACTTGTTTGGCAAAAGCTTACGCCAAACCATCAGAGCATCAGAGGGCTGTATATGAATCTTGCTATTTTTGTTCTATAGCATAATTACTTTAAAGACAGAAAACAAAAGACCTACTGCCCTGAAGTTGAATGTGACACATAGCAACTATAGGACAGAGTAGAACTGCTCCACTGGGTATTTGAGGCCGTGAATCTTTATAGAAGCAGATTGCCTTATCTACAGCTGATGGGTTCAAACTGCTGACTTTTCAGTGAGCAACCCAATGCTTAACTCACTGTGTCACCAGGGCTCCTTAAAGAAAGAAGGATGGTTGAGAAAACCTTTTTTATTGCAGTCTACTGCAGCGTTTCTCAAAGTATCTGGGTGAAACAGAAGTTGCTGGGGCTGTTTTTCAATGCATTATAAATATAATATAAATATAAATGTAAAGTAAGAAAACTATCATGCTCTTGGATGCTGCAGTAATGCTTATGTTTCTGTGAAAATGTCCAAATGCTTACCCTTAATTTCCATACAAATTGCACCACTTCTGGCATTGGTCTGCAGACCACACTGGGAGCCGCCCTGCTTTGCAACATACACTTTTGACAGCCTTTGGGCATTCTGTAACTCTGGTCTTAAATATCCAGAAACAATAGACAGGCTCTAGAGACAAACCTCCAAGGTTCAAAATCTGGCTCCCTGGCTTCATAATAGCTATGTGATGCTATAGGTGTGGTGCTGTAGGATTAGCACTGAACAGTTAGCCACAAGGTTGATAGTTCAAACCCACCAGCCTCCCCTGGGAGCCCTCTACAGGGTCACTATGAGTCAGAACTGACTCAACAGCACCAAGTAGCAACAACGGCCACAACTTGAGGAAGTCACATGTTACTGCTGTTATTAAGTGCGATCGAGTCAGTACCACACCAGTACCTGCTAAAAGGAAATACCATTATCATCAAGAATAGCAGCAGCATTGCTAACATTTATTGAACACTTACTGATTTTACCTCTCTAATATATTTTCAATAACTTTTGACTTGTTTAATTTTAGGCATGACAAATTCATATGTAGGAGATAATTACAGGCCTTCATTTATTCAGGATAATGAGCTCAGGCACTTAATCCTTAAGGTAAGTAGAGCAATAGATTTGTTTAAATTACATTTTTCCTTTAATTTTTATTTAAACAACAGCTAGATTTTCTTTAATTTGCATCCTGTTATGAATACTTTTAACCCTACATTAAACCCCATGTCTGGTAATATAGAAATGTGAATTATAGAAATAGCTATGATTTATTAGTTTGGGCTAATGAAAGTAGAGAGACAACATGTACTTTCCAAAATATGAAGCCACATCTAATTTTAATTCTGATTTCCTTCATTGCCTAAGGTCTCACTGCACATTGTAGGATCTGTTCTCCACTGTTGTCAATCCTTCAAAGCCAGTTTGCCCTGTATCTCATTCCTTCAGGATCCTGTGCTTTGCAGAATAGCTAGTCATCGATTACTTAAACAAGTCATATTTCATATACAGGATGCAAAAAGTCATACCAACCATCCCTGCCACACAGCTAGGTTCAGTAATTCGTTGTAATGGCCACACAGAACTCACAGTTGTAGGGATTAGTAGAGAAGTTAACAGGTTTTCCTGCAGGATCAGAAAGTGTTCGGGGGCCCAGTTGTTCTAGTCAAGAAGTCAAGAGAGTCTCTCCTCAGCCATGCCCACAGGCAGACCTCTCTCTGTGAAGCAATGTTTCAAAGTTCTTTTAGGGCTGCTGATAAATGCCTATAGGACACACCACTCAGCCATTTGCCTTAGCCTGAAGGCACCTAGTTCTAGCCCCCCTCTTAGTACCTGGAGGCACCCTACTCTACAAGTAAGCCTACTTCTCAAAGTCATTCACCTTATTTGCTTCAAGGACTGAGAAGCTCAGTACTCTTGTTTCATGCTCTGGCTCTTAATTCTGCTTCTGTATCTCCTCTGCTGCTTCTCTGGGGCAGTATCTTTCTGTCCCTGGATTGAGGAGGATCAGTACATATGGATCTCAGGACCCAAAGAATATACTCCACTCCTGGTCCTTCTTTAGATGATAGTGAGAGTCCCCATTCCTGCATGTGAGATGGCTCATTTTACATATGTTAGGGTTCCAAATTTTTACAATAATAGTTAGTGTTGTTAATAATTACCTTGAGTCATGTGATCCTATTAGTATCTTCTACCACCACAAATGTTGCTTGAGTAGAGCCATATGCAGTAAATGACTGCATTACACATGGATTTGCAGATTCACCATTCTAGAGTTAAATGACATTGAAAATGGGATCATGTTGTTGAGATAAACTGTTCCCAGGAGTTTATAACTGCTTTCTTGGTATCGTAATACAACTGGATTTAAGCCATAGGTTGATTAAATAGAAAGGTCCTTTATTTAGATATTTGTCCATTTTTCTTTTTTAAAAAATTTCAATTCGTTCTTTTATTTGAAGGTTGTTGTTATTAAGTGCCACCGAGTCAATTCTGACTCATAGCGACCCTGTGCAGGGTTGCCAAGGAACAGTTGGTGGGTTTGAACTGCCGACCTTGTGTTTCTCAGCCCAGGGCTTGTCCTTTAACACCATAGCTAAATTTAAACATTATATTCTTGACAGAGGACTTCTGGTGTGGTGCTGTGGATGAAACCCACCAGCTGCTCCTCAGAAACCCTATACAGGGTCCTGTCTACGTGTCAGAGCCAACTCAACAGCATTTAACAATAACAGCAACATTCCTGCTATAGGCATACAGGATTTTGGGGGGGGAACAAAAACATTTTTAAATATAGTGGAATGTGCCATTGTATGGAAACGTTCTTGCCATCTGTGTTTTTTCATTCATAGCTTAATATAACCCTGATCCTGTCCCTTATTTTACTGAAACTCACCTACCTAATTCCCTTCATACTTATTTCCAATCAATGAAAATCAATCCAAGGAAATATCCAGTTGGGAATGCCAGACTTACTTTA